TTGCTTCAATTAGGGAATAACGCAGATGGATCAATTACGCTGGGCGCCTTAATATAACCTTGTTTGAATTCATTTCTAGAGCATAGCGTAGCGCAACTCTCAACGTCCAATTATGAAACTAGACCAATATCATATAGTTCTAGTGAGGCTTTACTAGCTTTGGATGGTGAAATTAGCGACCTTGTTTTCTTTGTTTCTTGAGCTTCGTTCTGGCCTTTTTCTTCACATGAGCGTGGGTCAGAAGGACATCCTTATAGACTATATTGAAGAGTAAGGAAATGGCTTCCATGACAATGAGGTCCTTCTTGCATGGTGTTATAGGGCCTGGCTTGTTAGGCTTTGGAATCGACGACTTGTGCATCTCTGATAACTAAAAGCGCAGAAAGCTTAACGCAAGCGACATAGGTAATCCAGCAGCAATTGAGAACCGAAGGTCTGATTCCACCTAATGGCCAATTCAACCAACACAAAAAACAACCCTAGCCCTTAGCGCAAGCACTCAGTAGGTAAAACTACCTTGTATCGAAGTTAGTTGCTTGGCATGAGTAGCTTGGCTTGCTTATGCGAAAATAAAGTAACTAGGGAATTCATATTGTCACATCCCGACCCGAGCCCCCACCACATCCAGGGCTCGACTCCGTCGTAGCACGATATTGTCTGCTTTGGATCCTAGCCACGCCCTCACGGTTTTGTTTTTGGGAACTCACACGAGAACTTCCCAGTGGGTCACCCATCATAGGATTGCTCTCACGTGAACTCGCTTAACTTCGGAGTTCCGATGAAACCCGAAGCCAATGAGCTTCCAAAAGGCCTCGTGCTAGGTAGAGATGAGAATATACATATAAGGCTTACATGATCCTCACCCCTGGGCAATGTGGGATCTTACAATCCACCCCTCTTAGGGGCCTGATATCTTTGTCGGCACACTTTTGGTCAGGGATTGGCTCTGATACTAAATTGTCACATCCCGGCCTGGGGCCCCACCACATCCCGGGCTCGACTCCACCGTAGCACGATATTATCCGCTTTGGGCCCCAGCCACGCCCTCACGATTTTGTTTATAGGGAACTCACACGAGAACTTCCCAGTGGGTCACCCATCATGGGATTGTTCTCGCGCGAACTCGAAGCCAGTGAGCTCCCAAAAGGCCTCGTGCTAGGTAGAGATGGGCATGTACATATAAGGCTTATAGGATCCTCACCCTTGGGCGATGTGGGATCTTACACATATACTAATCTTCTAATCTAGCTAAAGAAGTTTTTTTTTGTTTATTTAAAAGTAGATCAGGAGTTTAGGTAGATGTTAAATTAGGGTGAGCTTGACTATTATAATCTACATGCCACTTAGCTAAACGAAATCCTGAGTATCAACTGTCGTGTAGATGCTTCTGTTGGTAGGAGCTACTTCACTTTTGGTGTTCAACGCTCATTTCGAACTAAGATCCAAAGATTCCCTGTAACATGATGGTTTGACATGAAGGTTTATAACATATTTTGGTGAACCCGCCGTGGCAAGCGGGTTGGTTCCTTTGTCGTCGCCGGAGAGCTCTTAGGCGGAGACTTAGGATAAGTTGCTAAAACAAACGGGAAGGGAGGATCGACCCATTCAGTATAATTCTGAAGAAAGATTGTTGGAAGCAGGTGCCAAAACCGTCGCCCGTTTCCTTATTTCTTCGATAATATAGAGTTGGCTATCTTTGTGGCGTCTATTTGTACAATGGGTTTTCTCAATAACTAAAATGTGGATCGTGCCTGAATCTAATTGGGGTTCACAATGGTGGAGGAACTGGATCAGAAAGAAGAAGGCTTCTAATTGTAAGATATCTAATGTAACCGTCGATAGAATTGAGATCTCAATAAAAGAAAGATAAGGCAAAACTAATGGCTTCTTGGTCACAACTAGCTAAAGCTAAGGTTCCATTAAAGAACGTTTCTACAGGGTGGAACCTCCTCAAGGAATATAAGGTTTTCACAAGGTTGATCTTGAGCCACCATCTAAGCACAAATACCTTCAAGAATCGAAGTTGATTTGCTTTATAAAAAAAAGATATCAATGATCATTGAAATGGTTTCACGGTCTAGTAACGAACTGTTCTGATTAGTTGATAATATTAGTTGATAGTTTTGTGAAAGACTCCTTCGAAGAGTTTCATTAACTTCATAATTTATGTCGAGTAGACCTTGTTCTTGTGAGAGCTTTTTCATCATACTATAACGAGTGAAAGTGGAGGGATTTTTCGATATTAAGATAAAAGGGTAGGTTTAATTGTAACCACCACATGAGTATGACAATGAGTTTCTTTGCCCCCGACTTGAGATGAAGAGAAATGTCTATCTATTTTCTTTAGTTATTCAATTAAACCAATGAGTTGTTATTGTAGCAGATAGCAACAACCATTTCATCCAACATGTATAATTTTTATTTTTCCAATGGATTTACATCTTTCATTTATGGAAAATCTTTGAAGTAGTGAGTAATAGCTCTAATGGTTCTTCTCAACAGATTAAGCTACTTACTATAGTTAGGGTATTGAACAATGGTGTGCAACTTGCCCAATAAGAAAAGTCGCTCGAGTGAAAGAGACTAACAAGCGAGAAACTTGACTTGGAGAAAGAAAGGGGCGCCCTAGCTTACTAATAACATAGGGCTTTTTCCACTTGATCAGAATCTATTCTATGATTGAATAGCAGAAGTGCTACTAAGTAGTAGAAACTCAGATAGACACCGTTTTTTCTTTGTTTTTTTTTAGAAAGAATAAGTAAAAGAAGAAAAAAAATAAAGGAGGGGTATGGATACTTGCTTACTGCTTGCGCTAAGGGCTTATACCCAAAAAATATGACACGCACTAGATGTAATGGGACGGACAAGATGAAACCAATAAAGAAAAGACTATAAAAGAAGATAACTAAAAAGATGGATTTGCCCACAGAGTGGTGAAATTACTTTCTTTCGAGTGATCTTATTCATCAATAGGGGACCATCCCATACCATAGGAAGTTGCTTCTTGGAATGTCGTCATTCAAGCACATGCTGACCAAGTTATCCACGCAAACGAAGAAGAAAAGATCGTAGAAGAACAAGCTTGCCTGCGAAGTAGTCAAGGGCTTTAGCGCTCATGTCATAAAAACATCCCCTAGTGATGTATATCATGGTCCCAGAAGTAGTACGGCCTCCTAGTATATGAATAGATCCCAGAAAGACTAAAAGAAACTCATGTATTGGTTCGAGCAAATCCATTATATGTAAACTAAGAGATAAATAAATAGAAATGCTTTTCATGACCTTATTGAGACTTGACCAGAGTTATTTATTTATTTATTTATTTATTTATTTATTTTTATATATAAGGGATCTTCCTCACAAAGCCATAAGTATTAATAGCTTTAATTGTAGTTAAGGGGCTGTTGGAAATCGGACACTTCCTCAGCCCAGCATGTTGAGACCAGAGCGTGTCTAGGAAGTGGGTTCTTAAAAACTCCCATTTTATTGTTGGGGTTCTTAGGAGCTTCCTGTATCCACCACTTTGATTTTTCCTTCTTCTATAAAATCATGGATTTTTTACTTACAAGTCTTCAATGACAAAGATTTCACTACACTACTTGTTACGTTAAACATTCATCTTTCTACATCTGACTCTCGCACGGATAAAGATGGAGGTCGGGATTCCCACAGCACCGTGGCAATTCAATGAGCGAGAACTTCCACTCAATAGTAGAACAATGAAAGAAGTAGTGGCGCTCCCCATACTTAGATGGTCTAGCTAAGCCTTGTTCTCCCTTTTCTCTTGATTTGCTTGCTCAAGGAAATGTATTATGATTCCCCTTTCTTTTTATTAGTTTTAGGGTTGGATCTGAGAATTGGAGAAAAACGAGATACCTACAGGGTCGGCTGGCCTTACTCTATCTAGAGGAAGCGTTGGTAGGGATTTGGAGGACCTTGATTAGATATTGATTCAGTGTTGCATGATCTCAGTCAGCTTCACTTGGGGCTTCCTTCACATGAAATGAAATCTTGTGGTTGTTATGAAATGAAATATTATCTTGTTTGATTTCGAAGAATGTGCCAATTAGATAAATAAACCAACGGATGAGATTGAGATTAGATAATCCAATCCAATGGTTGTTATGAAATGAAATCTTATCTTGTTTGATTTCAGATCAAAACAAACAAACATATGCGATTGAGATAAGAAAACTTAATCTAACGGTGCATAACTAGCATAAGTGATGAAATCTAACTTTGTCAGAATTTGAATGTTTTTAGGTTGAAAAGTTCATAAAAAAATTAAGACAATACGTCCAAAAATCAACTTAAGAAAAGTTAAGATAAAAATAAATTTACCGCGTAATCAAATACTACATAGATAAATATATAGCCCATATAGAGTTTGAAAAGTATATAGCCTCTTATTGGGTGAGATTCTTTTATAGAGCTCCAAAGATTCCTCAAAACTCTAAATTGATTATATCCACCATTTTTTTAGTCCTAGATAGAACCTCTCATTGGAGATTTTCTAACCAATCCTAAATATAATAACATATCCTATCCTGCCCATCGAACATGCCCTAAAAAGTTTATCACTCATTGGTAACACGGTCAGGCCGCCGGCGCCCCATCATACAAGGAAGAAATGAACAAACTAATGTGTTGTTTTCGGTTAATCTTAGGGATGTGCTATCCACACACCTCTTATTAATTTCTATCTATTGATCTTCTTCAATTCATTCGATCCGACGACCGAAAATAAAAAAGGTGTGGGAGAAGTAAAAAAGGGTGTGTGGATATCACACCCCTAATCTTATTGCCCATCCATAAATATAACCACACGATTGTATGCATATCTACCGTTGACCCCAAATAATATAATCACACCCATTTATTGCTATCTTAATATTTAAATCAATCCCTAAATCTCAATCTCGATGTTAAATTTTTATTTTAACTTCTTAAATCCTCTCGATGTGCCCCTTTCTTGCCATTCACTTTGAACACAAGAAATTATGGAAGTGGAAAGCAAGTCCATGCTGTTCACAAAAAAGAAGAGGTTTTCTCACTCAACCATTCTCAGCACCATTTCCCTCTTCTCACTATTTCTGATTCTTATCCTATTTCACGCACAACCCTCTCCTTCCTTCTCTCCTGCCTCAAAACCCGGAGACTCGAAACTCCGAAACTCGGTTACATTTCTTCCTCTCAAAGACACAAGGTTTGCCAACACTGCAATGGAGGGAAACACTTGGTTCATGAGCTCCTTGAGTGACACATTTGAAGAAAATGAATCCGAATACCTTCATTTCCCTTCGGATGCATCCAACGGAAGGCTACTGTGCATCAAAGGGAACGACATAAAAGATGGCACCAAAAACTCATATGCCTTGGCATATCCTGAAGGTTTACCAAACTCCACCACGTTCTTGAAAGGCCTTGCGTTTGTGTCCGACACATTCTATGACTACGGAAACTTGTGGCACGGGTTAACCGCCATGATGCCTTTCGTCGGTTGGTCTATGAAAAATGGATGCGCAAAGCCGGCAAGATTGGTACTTTTCCACTCGGGAGAGCTGAGAGTTACAGAGAAAATGGGGTTGTGGATTCAGAATTTGATGCAAGCGAATTTCGGGCAAGTGCAGGTCGAAGAGTTCGAGAAGGGAGAAGGGCCTTATTGTTTCGAGAAGGCGGTTGTGATGAGGCACAATGTTGGGAAAATGGGGAAGAAGAAGAAGCTTCAAGTGTCCGACTTGTTGAGATGTAAAGCAAGAGAGTTTTGTGGCATAAACCCTAATGGCAGACGCAGAGAGGTCAATGTGAGAGGGGAGCCAAGCATTAGGTTGACGTTGCTAATGAGGAGAGGATCAAGATCGTTCAAGAATCCGACGGCTGTGACTGCTGTGTTCTCAAGGGAGTGCGTGGCAGTGGATGGGTGCACGTTAAAGGTGGTTCAGTCTGAAGATCTGGATTTCTGTGATCAGGTTTGCTCTCTCTTCCTCTAGCAAGTTGTTTTCATTTTTCATTTCTTTATTCTGAAGAGCCAAAGTTCTAGGGCTAAACTTGTTGCGTTGACAATGACTAGGTGAACTTAGATGGGAATGATGACAGATATTTCAAAATATTTTAGCGCTAATTGATAATTTAAGTTTGACCAAGTATATGTGTTATGATTAGTGAAAGTGATCACGAAGATCGTGTTGTTATTACATGTATTGTGTGTTAAATGAGTATTCTGTATTTCAAGTTAGAGGAGTGTTAGTGTCAGTCGTACGTAAATACGTGACATGTTCAGAGGGAGTCGTGCACTACGCTCGTGTCCAATCCCACGCTAGAGCTACCTAGTTAAAGTTTGTAGCTTAACATAACAAACTCGGTGTTCTTAAACAGGTTAGACTAATGACAAACACAGACGTCCTTGCATCCCCGCATGGAGCCCAGCTAACAAACATGCTCTTCATGGATAGAAACAGTAGCATAATGGAGTTCTTTCCCAAAGGATGGCTGGAGCTTGCAGGGATAGGTCAGTATGCTCATCACTGGATGGCCGATCAATCCGGTATGACGCACCGGGGTGCTTGGTGGGATCCCTATGCCGATAAAGAATGCCCGGAACCTAACAAACAACTCGAATGCTTTCTGTTTTACAAAGACGGCCGAGTTGGTCACAATGAAACCTACTTTGCAGAGTGGACACGAACTGTCCTCAAACAAGTAAGAACAAGCAAGTTAGAACAAGACATCGAGAGTTCGCAGAGAGATTCAAACGTTTGCCTATGCTAGCTAGCGAAAGATTTCACTACTTTGTAACCTTATATATCTGTAACAAACATTTGATGAGAAATATTGCATCGTTTCGTTCTCCATACAAAAATTGAATAGGGTATAGAAAAACAAAGATAAAGAGAAAGATGTGACATCCCGCTAACATGATTATGGGGTTGTTTTACAGTGACAGAACAATGTTCTTTCCCAAATGGATAATTTCTCCCCTAGTGTTGCTCTAAGCACAGTACTTTGAGAAGCTCGAACGAAGATTGTAAAGATGTTCAACGTGTTTAGTAACATGAACATGTGGATAGCCTTACAATGAAACAAGTACTTATGTTGTCGATGAAACCTCTTATAGCCTTAGAAAACAGATGTCTGGAAGGCACTAAGTATCCAATCTTCATCTGAACAGTTTGGACCAAAAGTATACCACGAAGAAACAAACTAGTCCAAAAGCCACCACGTGGACGACATGGTTTGATCCACTCCGGATGATGCTTCTGTTCAATCTCCTGACATTGTTCTTCAACCCTGCTTGACCTTTCAACAGCGTCATATGCTGTAAAAAAAAAACAGACAAAGATATAGGTTTCAGAAAGCTGTATATATCCACCCATCATACTGCCATTAAATTTCATTTCAGAAACTTCCTTTCCATCCACTAAAAAATTCCAAAAGTACAGGTCGGTTCTCCGATGATAGTTAAAAAAGAAAAAAAGTTTTTCTCTTACGGTTTCTGATCTCTTTAAGTTCTTACTTGGCGTCGATTTTTTATTTTTCAGCCATATTTTTCAATTTGCAGAATATAGTAAATTAAGCAGTTCATCCCATCATTCTTAACATAAATTGTTGAATGTAGAATGTAGTAACCCATATCATCCATCATCCCGTGTTGTTTCACATAATGTGAAATATGAAAGCAACAATGTCTAAAGTTTGATGCCATACCAGCTGATCCAGAAATTCATTCTGGAATTTTGCTTCCGTACCTATAACTTGAGCTACCTGCGCCAAAATAAGAGAACAGGATTAAATTATTTGCAATCAAATTGTGGGAAATCAATTTTACAAGTCATAATGCACCATAATTAGGCAATAAGATGAACTATGAAACAACAAATGTACAGAGGCAAGACATCAAAGCATTCGAATTTATGAAAAGCTGATTTAGTTTGATACACCAAAAAAGAACAGTCTTCAATGACTAACTCCATTAGATATCCATAACCAAGCAAAGAAATACTGTACAAGCCCATCCCCCATCAAACCCAGCACTTCCTTCTACAAAATTAATAAAGAGGAGACAGCACTGTACAGGGAATAGATACTTTAACAAGGTTCCATAAATACTCTATAATAATTTTAAGACAACGGCTGCAACACACAAATCTAACACCGGTCACTGAAACAATAGAACAAATTCCAGATTGAGAAAAAAAATGCACTGCACCGCCCTCCTCAGAGTAGAGGAATTATGTAATAAGTAAAAAATCAATAACCATGTAACAGGATCTACCAAATAACAGGCGCAATGCAAGTGAATAATTATGACTAAAAATCCAAATAAAAAACATATTGCTCACGCAGATCATTACATACTTCAGCTAATAGCAACAAAGACTGAAAGTGAGGCGCTAGACCTTTGTAAAAGGGTTAGGTAACAGGAATACCAATAATGTAACCAGTATGGGACCAAAACAATATATATAACATCAACATTTCCAAGTTGCACCAAGATGAATTCAAATGCCCAAACAAAATACAGAAACTAAAAAATTCGGAGTGCATACATTTTTCAATCTTCTCACTTGGTTGTGGAGACCATTGATATCTTCATCCAAGTCAGCATGCATCGGATCAATCCTCAACTGGATTTCATCCATGTTAGCCGCTGGTCTTGGGTTAAGACCCTCCCTAAAAAAACCACCATTAATACATACATCGAACACAATCACACAAAATAGCAAATATGCAGTGTAAAATTAATACCTTGACCTATATGGAGCCACATTTCCATAGCCTGCCATTAGAAACCCTAGAGTTCGTGTTTGGTGAGATGGCTTAAGCAATCGTCTTTTACAATTTCAAATTGAATAGGTGATTATGTTATCTTGATTAATGCCCACTGTTAGCTTGTGAGTCTCCAATACCTGGCCATAGAAAGGATTTTTGTTATAAACCATAATTTGAGGGAAATGAACTACCTCAAAATATAAGTTATTTTTACACATACTTCAGAGATTTATAATACGCCGAAATATTATGCACAATGAAGCTTTAACCAAAAAAGTAGTGGTTTTGAAAACCAATAATATAAAATTAAAGAATATTTCAATGGTTTAAGTGAATATCCTACTGATGCACACTACTTTTCAATAAAATTCATATTGTGGGCAACAGAATCTGGACCCGAGGTTTCCATCAAACCCTAACATATTTCATCAATAGAATTAAGCTCTAAAAAAACTACCAATTTAGACTGCGGCATTGCCTGTTGAACCCAATAACAAAATCACAAAACTGAGATAAAAGTCACATAATTTCCTATACGACACAATCATAATTTGACTAAACAAAAGAAAAAAAAAGACCCGAATTGGATGACTGAACCGACCCAAACCTAATCTCCTATGGGAAACCCTAAATTCAACGTATTAGCCAAACAAAGGCTTAAAATTAGGGTCTGTTTCAATCCAATCTACACCCAAATTCCTAACCCAAACCGAACAAAAAGTTCGAAAGTACTTCCCAAAATTGCAATACAATTGATAATTAATCACCACATTTATTCGAATTCGAAAACTGGCAAATCGAATCTGATCAAGCACGAAAATTCATACAATTTACAGAAGAAGCGAAAGAAAAGAGGCGAATTGCAGTACCTTCGTCGGCGATTAAAATCGCAGGAAGCGAAGAACGACAGCAGCGAGGTTCCTGAGACGAGTTGGAGAGGAGAGGAGGCGGTCAAAGAAATGGAGAAGAACCCCGCGTCAGCACAAGGATAGAAGCTGTTATTTTGAGGAAGGAATCTGGAAACTATTTGGCATTTGGCATTTTTTATTTTTTTTGGTAAATGGCATTTCAAATATAATAGTGTTCGGCTGCTTACGCATCTCTACCAATCAACGCGTGACACGTGGTTTCCTTTTCTAAAGAATTAAATGGAGCTTGTCTCAAAACTAAGATTAAACTAGAGTTTTAGTCTCAAATAAAAGAGTAATGCTACTGTGACTATCTAATTGTACCATCATATATATCATCTTTTTAATAGGGGTGGGACCCGTTAATACATGTATAGAGATTGTACAAATATATGGTAAGAGTATCATGATTTTTCTTTTTTAATATTTAGGGGAGGGGAAGCTACCCATCTTAAAGTGAGGCATACAACTAAATACAAGTCTCTCTGAGGACTTAGAGAGGGATCTCAACCTTTTTTTTTTTTTTTTTACAGATCGCTCACCAAAAGGGTCCTTCGTAGCCTTTATGGGTCAAAAAGTGGCAGATAACTGTGGTTTGCCACCAATTGTCCCCCTTTTTAGAAAAACAAAATAAATAAATAAATTGGACAGACACAGAGATTCAAGGAGAAGGTCGGAGAACATAGAGATGAGAGAAAGAGGAAAGAGTGCACAGACGAGAGAGAAATTTAGAGGGGAGTAGACAGGATCAAATCAGAAGAGGAAGGAGAATGATATGATAGAGATAGAAAGCTAATCGAAAAAGATCGGGAGTGAGAGGAGATAAGAGAGAAAGTAGTGGGTTTGGAGTTTAAAAACTCTAAAATCTTACTTTTTGTGTTTTTCTAGAAATATGCTAGTTTTTAAGTAAGTTTTTAGTTTTTTTTTAAAACAGTCATACCAAACAAGTATTTAAGGTGTAAAATTTAAAAAGTGTTTTTGAGTTTAAAAAGTTAGATTCAAGTAAAGAATAAAAAGACCCTTAATAATCTAAACTTTTTTAATTATCAGATTTTTGAAAATTTTCCTTCCCTAAATGAGAGTATTAGTATTTTGATTTGAGTTTAGCAAAAGCTTGTTGCCAATAACAAGGAATTAGGGAGCACTTAATTTATTGATTCAAATTGTAGCATGTGTGTCACACTTTTTTATATATTGAAGTTTTGTTTCATATAGTTTATTTGGCAAGGTTTTTTACTAAGAGCATCTCCTGTGAGGCCCTAAATTAAGTCTCTACAATCTTATATTTTCTAAATACGGGGACAAAAGACTTTCAATGGATCGGAATTGAAGTCCTCAAAGTATTTTAATAAATAACGACTCATCGGATATCTCAAAAAAAATCTTAAATGTGAGGATTGTATATAAGAACTCAAAGAGTGGGCCTCCTTTGATTTTTGAGTGGGAAAAAAACCCATCGACGTGGGAATGCTGCACAACTACTACTCTTTTTACTTTTTTCTTGTTTTCTAAACCCACCCACATGGGAATGATGTATAGCAACTTCTCATTTTGCTACAACTCCTTTTTTTTTTAACCGTTGGAAAACCAACGGTAGAAGTAGTTTTTGTTTACCAATGGCCACAATACTCCAACAAAATGTACAATGATTTTTTAGTATTTTAGTTCATACATTTAGGGATTATACTATAAGGACTTCCCATTACTGACATGCCCCGATTCCGGTGTCCGAAGGACAACGGGATGGCCACGTGTTGGCCAACACCCGAGGGTGACACAAGCCATTTTATGAATGCATATGCCGAGAATATGTAAAACATGCATATAACTTTCACACATAACTACGCAATATAAAACTCAAATCCAACCTTAACAACATAATATAATAAGTTCAACTGTCAACAAAATAAAAGTGATAATGCATGACATATTCAGAGCATACTACTAGTTCAGAATACAATGTAACATAAAGTGCTATTACAAGAATGTCAAAGCGGAAAGGACACAAAGTCATTGGTATGGAAATGCCTCATAGCTCGGATCGTATGCCTCGTTCCTAGGTCTTGAGGGGGCGCAAAACAAAACATGGGTGGACCAAGTTGATATATAAATAATACTGAAATAGTTATTCATCAACGTACTAACCCCTAAAGTTTATGAAAACTCAATAGTATAATATGTAATAGGTTTTCCAAAAACCCTAGCATGCCATAAAAACTTTCATAAAACATATATCGTATATAATGTGCTTAGTAGTGTTACCATAATTGACCGAAGCCACTACATCACCCAACCGAAGGCAAATATAAATATCTTCCGACCAAAGCCATTACATCACCTGACTGAAGCCAAATATAAATATCTTCCAACCGAAGCAACTACATCACCCAACCAAAGCCAATTATAAGTATCAATCGCCCGTAAGCTCATAGTATGGATAACCACTAAGTAAGCACACAAAATCATGAACATAACTTTCCAAAATTTA